CTCTCGTCCATTTCTCCTACATCTGCAGTACACCTGTCCTCCATCTTTCCTACTATTACACCCATCTCTCCTCCATCTCTCCTCCATCTCTCCTCTATCTCTTGAAGCCGGGAGCGTGGCTGAGTACAGGGTGTACAAGTGGAGCGGGGCTGATATTCTGGCTCTGTTATTGCTGCGTGTAGGTCATCATGTCGAGCTGCAAGCATGAAGCCAGCCTTGTCACGCGCCATTTTGATGTCCTTGGCCCCGCGGGTAAGGATCCTTCGAAGGGGGGAAAGTGGTGGCTCTACCATTACTGCGATCTAAAATTTTCGGGCAATCTCAATCGCCTGAAGGAACATTTCACGAAGGGGATTTGCGCAGTTCAGAAATCAACGAAAACATTGACCGCAGAGGACATATTGAGAAGGAAGGAAGGATTGCGACTGGCAAGGATAGACTCGGGCATGCCGAGGGATGGTGCCAATGCCCTACCTGCTGTCACCAGTTTGGTGGCTGCTTCTATGGGCGGGGGTTCGGTCGAAGGGGTGGGCGACGCCTGTGGCGAAGCGGCGGGCGATACTTGTGACGAAGGGTGTGGGCGGCAGTGGGCCAGGTATCACGGTGCATCGCACAGGTGCATCTGCTGCACCTGCTGCAAGGATGCAACACATGGTGTTGGAGGAGACCGACAGCGTTGTCACAAAGAATGAGCAGACGTCAAGAAGAGTAGACCGCTGGATGACGTGCACAAACCAACCATTCAACATGTTCAGAACGGGTTCTTCAACGACATGGTGAACGCCATATGAGAGGCCCACCCATCATGGAGACTACACTCGAGAGAGGCGGCGCGTAATGGCCGATTGAACGGACAGCACCAGAGGGCGATCGAGGACGTGGGGAGGTTGGCGAAGAAGTGGGCTCGCACAGGCTGTATGGTGCAAGTAGATGAGGGGTCTGACCGGCGGGGAAGACCACACGTAAACGTCATGGTGTCCTCTCCCATTGACACCGTCTTTTGGAAGTCGGTGTGCGTAGCGGGAAAGGACAAAGACGCCAGTGCGTACTACAGAATACTCACCGCTGCGATTGAGGAGATTGGCCCAAAAAGTGTGGTTGGGGTGATCATGGATAATGCCTGGGTTTGTGTGAAGGCCGGGAAGTTGGTGGAGAAAAAATACCCGTGCATATTCCGGGTGGGTTGCACGGCGCATGCCCTTGACCTCGCATTGGAGGATATGGACAAGCACATTCCGTGGTTTGCGGAGATTGTGAAGAGGGGGAATGTGTTGGGGAAGTTCGTGATGAACCACGACAAGGTTCGAACACTCTTCCTGACCAAATCAGGTGGTGTGCAGATTAAGAGGCCGGGTGTCACTCGATTCGCGACCAACATCATCATGTTGCAGTCGCTGTGGGACAGGAGAAACGCCCTGAAATTGACTGTGGCTGCCAGCGGGTGGGTCTCCTCCATAGTGCCACCCCATTTGCATTCTCAATTCGAGGAGGTGACGGTGATTATCCTGGATGGCGGCTTTTGGGAGCGGGTGGACAAGGCCTTGAGGACCACGGACCCCATCGTAACGCTACTATAGCTCATCGATGGTCCGGGCGCAACAATCGCCCAGGTTTATCATCAAATGGATGGTGTGGTGGAGTCGATTCGCAACCTGGACATCTTGACAGACTTCGAGAAGGCAGAGGTCGAGTCGATCCTCATGGATCGATGGGCGTTCATGACTTCAGAGTTGCACTGTGCAGCAGCCTTCCTGGACCCGGAGTACAGATCGCAGGGCTCCTTCAAAGACACCGAGATCCGAGCCGGGTTCAACATATGGTGTACACCTGGTGCACGGACGAGATGTTCGATGACGTGAGCTGGGAGGTTGACGAGTGGGTGAATTTGAGGGGGGCCTTGCAATCAGAGGAAGCTTTGCGTGCAGCACGCGCCAAGACCCCGGCGATGTGGTGGGATGCGTTTGGCTCGCGGCTGCATCTTTTGCAACCCCAAGCGATCAGACTGTTGGGCCAGGCATGCTCATCCGCGGCATGCGAACGCAACTGGAGTCTGCATGAACTCGTTTTTGGCAGGAGGAGGACGAAAATTATGCCCACCCGCCTAAGCTCGTCTACAACAATTGGAACCTCCACCTACAGTGGAGGCAAGAGCACGGTCGTGGTGTGGATGATGTCCACATTCCGTGGGTGGAGGAAATGCCGGACGCCGAGTTGAAGGAGGAGGCAGAGCAATTTTACAATGATTGGGTGAACGGGTGAAGAACAGCACGCCGAAGTGGCGGGAATGACGTGTCGGACAAGGAAGACGAGTCGGAGGACAACGACGATGACGAGGAAGTGCCTATGGCAAGGAGGTGGTTGCGCAATGACGAGGTGGACAATGCAATGGACCAGGAGGAGGGCCTTGCGCACATAGATAGTACACGAACGACTGGCACTTCAACACGCGACCGGGGAGGCAGCTGGAGCGTGCCTTGCGAAGGTTGTCGGGCCATCAGCGCCCAGCACCTGAAGTGCGGTATAACAAGGAGGACCGGGAGCTTGCGCTGCGGGCTAGAGAGACGGGCGATTGGGTGGAGGGTCGAAAGGAAGGCGGAAGCAGCAGGCAACGTAAAGTGCGGTGCGGTGATGAGGATCGCCAGCACGGTAAACGTGCTGCGGAGGAGGACATTGCTACTCCGGAGAAACGAAAGAGAGGGCGGCCGACCAACAGAGAGGTCGCAGCAAGAAAAGCAGCAATGCGAGTTGGGAAGAAAAAGGCAGCGTTGGAAGCATCGAGAAAAAAGAAAACCGCTGGAAAGAAAAAAGCAGCAGCAAAAACCAGAAAGAGGGATGACATCATTGACGATGACGGCACGGAAGCATGTTCATCGTCTTCAACTTCATCAGAGGAAGGGGATGATGAAGATCATGATGCCAACGACGCAGAACCGCGGAGTGTAGAGGAGGGAACTAAGCACGAGGAGGAGGAGGAGGAAGGCGAGGAGGAAGAGGAAGGCGAGGAGGAAGAGGAAGGGGAGGGGGTAGAGGAAGGGGAGGAGAAAGAGGAAGGGGAGGAGAAAGAGGAAGGGGTCGCAGAGGAAGAGGGTGAGACTTGTGCACGGGGAAGTGTAGAGGATTAGGCGGAGTTGATGCCGCTGACTGCAAAGTTTGCAGTTTCGCGGTTTATCTTTCGATGTTCGGTTGAACTTAGAACAAAGTAAGAACTGTGAACGACAACTTCTAGAAGTTGTAGTTCATCTTCTCATCATCAGTTAACTAACTTAAGTTAGGTCTTTAAGTTGGCATTTTGTCCATTCCTCCCGTGTTGCAGTTTGCATGTGTGGTTTTTTGTCATTTGCCCATTTGCAGTGTTCTGTTTTGCTGGCTATGCAGTGTTCTGTTTTGCTGGCTATGCAGTGTTTCTGTGTCTGCATCAGGTAACAAGTAATAACAAGTTAACAAGTGAGTACCCTGCCACACTGCCTGCCCCGCCAATGCAATTGTTACAGTCACGACACCGTCGCTTGGCTCGTAAGACGAGTCTTGTGCGCACCCCCTTACATTTGCCAATGGTTCGCAAATTCAGACCCCTCAGAGGTGTGCACTCCCCACCAACAATGCCCCCTACCCAGCGGAACCTCAAAAAAAAAAAAAAAAAAAAAAAGGGTCCTGCCAACCCGGACGGTGCGGGGAAGGCACCGCTCCAGTCCCGGACCAAACCGCACCGGGCAGAAGAGTACCGGACCGTACCCCGTCCGGTCCCGTCCGGTCCGGGTCTGTCTGGTCCGGGGGGAGGGTGCCGGACACGGAAAACCGGACCGGACCGGACGCTCGCCCGGTCCGTCTGCTTGCAAGTATGACTCAAACAGATTAAGTATCTGACTTTCATACAAATTCATTCCTTTCAATTCACAATGGTTCTGAAAAATAAGTACAAACAGAAATAAAGTCAAAAATAGATAGTCTTTATCATAATCTCAGTCAACAAAAGGTAATAGATTTAGGGGAATGCGGGATCACACAAGTAAAACGAGATTATACATGTTCGTTCCCTGCCTCCAGAACCCCGGCTGGGCTCCGGCAGAGCTCCCGCAATCGGTGGGGCGAACCTCCCACAGAGGCCTTGGCGCGGATTACGGGTTTCAATCCCGCCTGCCGCCTTCCTCTCAGAACAGGACTAGACTTAGAGTAAGAAGGGCAGAAGGAGGGGTTTCAGACGCTCGAAATACAAGAGAGGGACTGACTCAACTCGCAGGGGAGGGCCTTGTTGCCTTGAATCCCCTAAGGGCCCCGCAATGATGGCCAAAAAAAAAATGCAGTAGAGATGAACAGATCACGGCCCGGACGAAGAACATCAGCTCCAGACAGTCCTCCAAGTTGCAGCAGCAACCCCTTTATCCAAAACACAGTCAAACGGTTTAGAATGACCGCATGCGAACAGAGCACACTCCCTAGTGTTCCTATTCGAAATGCAGGCGAAATGTAACAGGATACGGTCAAAACGTTGTGTGCCCCACAGTAGCACATAACAATGAGCACCGCAGACAGGCACAACGCTGCTTAGTAATACAACAACGAGGCGTAGTGGCGACTCAGCAACGTTACGATGCACAAAGGTGCACAGTGCCGGCCTGCAACAACCGGTTGCAGCGTCAAATAACGACAACTCCAAGTAGTCGCCCGATCAAGGGAACGCAGACTATGTCCCTTCTTGAAAGAACGTCTGCAACTCCAAAAAATGCACAGACCACACCTAGCTCCAACCATAGCAGCAGCGGACCACAATCGTATAACAGTAGCAGCCACAAGCCGCACTACAACTGTAAGAGCAATTTGCACAACAGACAACAGAAGTTGACGTCACTGCAATAGCACCTCCGCGGATCGCCAATAGCCCGTGCTTTAGTAGCAGTAGCGAGGTAGACTAGCAATCAGTAGCCCGAATCAACCTGCTCAACAACAGCTGATGGCCACTCCGAAACCAAGAGTACTGATGTTCAGAAAATAGCAGCAGCACTTCACCCCAATAGTCAGTCGGTTGCAACTTTTAGCCAAGGCACAGTGACCACTGTATCAGCAATGTAGTCGAAGTAACGGTGCAACGCTCAGCAATGGCTTCGCAGGAAGAGGCAGCGGCAGTTCAAAAGCAGCAGCGGGCTTCCTTGAACTCAGCAGTGACTCAGCAAAAAGATGCCGTAGCAGATCAACACCGCAGGACCTCAATGAAAGATCTGTGATCGGGTCGAACTAACACTCATGAGTGACAACCGTGTGGCTAGCTTCAACGTTCATCAAAAGAGCGAAATGCGAATGATCTAGAGATGGGAAGATACTTGCCATACACAACGCACAAGAAGAGGATGAATCTTCCGCTAGAACAGGGATGAATGCACCGTTACACCACGGCCCGTCCTCCTGCTCTCCTCGCGTCGCCAAACTGGTGGTAAGTGTCCTCTCTCTCTCTCTCTGCCTTCACACGCTTACTGAGGCCACTCTCTAAATGCACTTGACGCCTTCATGGCCTGGTACTTCCGAAAGGAGGGCAGCTCCTTGGTAGAAGCGAGAACTACAATGAGCACGATGATAAGAAGCAAGCAACTGAAGATCACGAAGCCGAGCGAATCGATTACTAAGATCGCGCTGGTGGGCTATCCAACTTGAAAGAGCTGCACTTCGAAGAGCATCGGGATAACGATGATTGAGGATGCTGGAACGAAAACCACAACGCGATTTAAAAGCTGCGTGGACGATGGAAACCACCACCTTGAAGATCGCCACCTTGAGAGCGATCACGAGGAGCGTGAATACCATAACCAAAAGGCAAACATGGTGATGAACTGGAGCACTCGTTGATGACCAGCGCTTCACTAAGTGTGTAAACCAAGAATGAATCCTTCCCTAACAGATGGGAAGATACACTGACATTTTCACGCATTCACCCCACGCATGAATGTACATGGCCAACTGCACGACCAGATTCAATCCACGAAACCCAGTTGGGCTAAGGTTCACAAGCACACCCGTAGCAAACCGATCAAATCTTATGATGAGCAAAGCTCTCTACTACAAACAATCAGCACCATTACGAACGGGGGATCGACACTAAGGCCGTACGTATGAGGATCGCGGAGAACAACACGTTGATGAGCTTAAGATGGTCACAAAGATGATCAACATCGTGTTCAAGAGCAGCGCTTGGTGATGTCAAGCACGACCACGATCATCGCACCATCTTCTACGTGCAAGAGCACGATGGTTACCTCGATTACGGACCTTGCCCCGCTACTCCTCAATCTGTGCAAAACAGGAATGAATCTTCCGCAAGGACATAGGAAGGTACACTGTGACGGACAGGTATACTGAGTAGAAATCCTGGCGTGAGTGTGGACTAACGTGCTGTCAGATGCAAATGTCGCCGCTTGCACGTGCGGGAGAAAGAGAGTTTTCTACTTATAGGATGAACAACATCGGAATGAATCTTACGCTAGATCCTGGCCCGGTGCATTCATCGATTGCCACGACTACCACACAGAGGGAGGCTAGGATCAGGATGACGAGCGATGTCTGGACTTAAGTTGGCGATCGGGAGGAGCAGCTCCCACACAAGTTTGCAAGGACGACCTTGAAGGTGAAAACGATGAACCAGATGGACAGTGCGACCTCGAAGCTAACAGCACCACGTCACAACCCACTCCACTACTTACCATATGCAAAGTGAGATCGGGACAGATACCTGGGAAGTCCCCTCGTGACTGCGCCTCGTCGTTTAGCACTGTAGCTCGACTTTCGGTTCATCCCGCATCGCCAGTTCGAGGTGAGTACTTTCTCTCTCTCGTGAGTGAGTGAACGTGTGCGCGGCTTCATCAAGTAGACCCAGATGCCCTCAACGACGAGCACCCCACCAAGAATGCATTGTCGGGCACCGCCACGATGGCCATAACGGCGAGGCAACAATGATTCAGTGTCCCGATTAGATTAGCGCAATCACGATTGGGAGCACCGGCCAACAGGTGACTCTCGAACCCGCGGCCCTCCTCACGCTACTTCCATCGTTAGGTGAGCAAAACCGAATGTCTTCCACTCGAACATGAGAAGGTACATCCCTTACTCCCATAGTGGCTGCACAGCCCAAACCTCTTGTAGTGGTCGAACCAGTGCCCAAATCAAAGATTTGTCGCGACCATTTGATCCGCAGCACCTCAAAAACCCCGCCACTACTCTCCTCGTTAAGTCCGCGCTCTCTCTTTTCGCGTTATCTCCTCCCCCACTAACTCTCATCCAAATCTGAGCACAGATTCATGATCGCCTGCCCCAAAAACTCCAACTTCAACCTTCACCCTGCCTGATTCCATTAAGAACGGCGGCATAGGTCTCCCTCCATCTCTCCTCTTTAACTCTTCTTCCTCGTCATCTCCCTGTCTTCTTCCTCTTAGTCAGCTTCGAAGTAGCGTTGAAGTTAGCGCCCGTCCCTTCCTTCTGCACGGTCGCTATACCCGACTACTTGTTCGTAATTCAGGAGTGCAATGAAAAAGCCCGGGTGGTCTGACCAGGCCGCCTTAAATAGAGGGTACGAGGGGCTCTATCACCTACTCCTCGCCCAGCCGCAGGTCTCAACAAGTGCTGGTCACGCCTATCTCCTCTGTATCATTCCAATTTTTACGCATGTCCCAAAGGACTGTGGCAAGGCAGTGGCCCTGGGATATCACCTACGGGCTTGACCGGCCCTTGGCAGTTCATAAACATTTGGTTTTACTCATCAAGTTTCATCATCTGGGTTCGGATACGGGTCTGCAATTCAGCAATTCAATGTTGTACCCACTGAGCTAGGCTCTTGGGCCTCACGACCGGTCCAGGAACAGGTATAGGACCGTGTCCCAAAATGGGACAAAATTAAAAAAATAAAAATAAAATAAATAAATAAATAAATAAAAGCTTAGAAAAGATAGGAAAACGGACGAGGGGTGGAGGACCGTCGGAACCCTGCCCTCGGTTCTGCCTAACGGGCCCGCAGTCGGACTCCCTAGCAAAACTAAGGGGGATAGTCCCGCGGGACCCTCAACCCCTCAGTTTTCTCGGGCGATGCGCTCCTACGCTCTTCTGTCCTCGGCAGCTGGCTTCGATCCCCGGATCTTCGTAGTGTCAATCCAAAGTCGTAACCTATAGGGATAGGCCCAAGCTTGGATATAATAGGCGTGGGCTTGGTTATAAAGACATTCGGTTCAGGCCCAGGC